GAAAGAAAGAAAGAAAGAAAGAAAGAAAGAAAGAAAGAAAGAAAGAATTCTTTATTGGCCAAGTGTGATTGGACACACAAGGAATTTGTCTTGGTGCAAATGCTGTCAGTATACATAAAAGAAAAGATACATTCGTCAAGAATCATCAGGTACAACACTTAATGCTAGTCATAGGTTACAATAAGCAATCAAATCATACTAGGAAACAATCTAAATTGTAAGGATACAAGCAACAAAGTTACAGTCATACAGTCACAAGTGCGAGGGGATGGGTGATAAGGAGTGATGAGAAGATTAATAGTAATAGTAGTGCAGACTTTGAAAATAGTTGGATAGTGTTGAGGGAATTATTTGTTTAGCAGAGTGATGGCGTTTGGGGAAAAACTGTCCTTGTGTTTAATTCTGGTGTGCAGTGCTCTGTAGCGTGGTTTTGAGGGTAGGAGTTGAAACAGTTTATGTCCGGGATGTAAATATTTTCACAGCCCTCTTTTTATTAAGCCACCTCACTTAAATTGAAATTCCAGGATTTTTTAAGGAAGCCAAGTCTGTAAATACAGGTAGTTTTCATTTACCGACCACATTTGGGACTGGCAATTATATTGCTAACTGATGCAGTTGTAAAGCAAACAATAACATGACTGTGCCCAAGTTATTTTTTTTAATTAATTTATAATGTAAAATACAAAAATAGAAAATAGTAGGAAAGATAGGGGAGGGAAAAAAGAAGGGAAAAGTGTAGTAAAAAGAGGGAAAAGGAAAAAAAAGGTGTTGACTTCCGATTCCCTTTGGTGCAGTAAAATAAGATAATAAGATCAAATTTCAACGTTTTACTTTTACATAATAGTATAAACTAGTCATTTCTAGAACAACAAACCTTTCTAGTTGGTAAAACCAAAAATCAAAGTTTTATTTTTTTTGTACCTCAAGCACAAAGTCCTGAAGTGGTTTCCAAGTAGAAACGAAAGTAACGGTATTTTTTTTTCTTTAATCAAAGCAGTCAATTTACCCATCTCTGCTAACTCCCATCAACCTTTGCAGCCATTTGTCCATTTGGGGAATAAAAGTATCCTTCAATTTTTGCGTATAAAGTAATCTTGCTGCTGTCAACATATACAACATCAAAGTTCCAATTTTTTTCCAAGTCTTTTTCCATTAAACCCAAAAGAAAGGTTTCTTTATATTCAGTTTGAGAATTTTCTGTATTAGGATAGGAATCCTACTCTAATATTTCTTTTCTTTGTCACATGTCCACCATACGTGATAACAGGTCCCTTCTTTACTTTTGCATTTCCAAGATTCATCGGAAATACCTTGATGCATTCTTGACAACTTATCTGGTGTTAAATACTAATGATACATCATCTTATAGAAGTTTTCTTTTAAATTATAATTTAGTGCAAATTTTAAAGCTTTTGTCCACTTATTCTCCTATTGTTCAAGGATTACATTATATCCAAAGTTCCTTGCCCACTGAACCCTGCAGTGCTTTACGTATTCATTTTCCAAATTCAAATTCAACAGCAATGACTGTGCCCAAGTTATGACAGCAGTTAAGTTTGTTAGTTCTGGTTGCAGTTGTTAAGCAAATCACCACAGATCAGGGGTGCCAAACTCAAGGCCTGCAGGCTGAATCTGGCCTGTGAAGTGATCAGATCTGGCTCGTGCGGCTGTCCTGGTCTACCCAATGTGAAGAAGAAAGATTGGCTAGCATGGCTCAGGCCCAGTCTACCCAGTGCGAAGAGGAAACATGCCAGAAGTTGGGGAGTGGGTCAAGTTGGCCATGCCCACCCAGTTGGCCACGCCTACCCAGTCGGCCGTGCCCACCCAGCCCCCTAAGGTCAACCACAGCCCTGATGTGGCCCTCAATTAAATTGAGTTTGATACCCCTGGATTATACTATCTTCTCCCCCCAATTTGCATTGAGCTTGACCTTCCTTTCACATAACAATCTTTCCCTGCAGGGGCAATTGTGTCAAAAAATACGGCAATCACAGTAGTGCAATAAAATTCTTCCCTTTGTGGATATGGAGGAAACATTTGTCACGCTTACAAAAATCCTAGCTTCATTTGCACTGCCATAAGCATTTTCACATTTTTTTGACGAACACACTGTTGCTACTCCTTTCTTCCAAATTCTGTGGTTTAAATGCATGTAGTGATCTTGATGCAAACAATGACAACTATGGGCAAGTTAAATAGAAATGTCTTACTACTTACCAGCCAATAAAATTATAACAATAAACAAAACAATGATCAGAATAACAGCTATAATGATTTTTTTGTCTGAAGTGCACTGATGTATGAGACCTGAAAAACAGACATGAAAATATCAGGAGACAAAATTCAAGATTTTATTGCGATTGTTTTGACTTTTTTATTTTTTGTTTTGTTGTAAGCTGCTCAGGTTGTAGTCACACTATGGGTGGCTATGTAGACATTATGGCACATTAAGAGAGAGGGAAAGGATCAGCTATTTCTTAATGCCAGAAAAGACTGCACATTTACCCCAAGCAACTAGCTGTAATTTGTATGAACAGTTTTCATGTTCTGCATGTTAGAACTTAGAATTTTCAACTTTGTGTGTTGCAGTTGGGATATGAAACTGTAATGCAGGGGAATTTGGGAAAGGAAGTTCAAAATATTTGGACAGCTTTTGGTTGGAAAAGTCTGGTGTATTTCCATCTGTTGACAATTAAGGTTTTTGGTCTGACGCACACCAGCCGATCCTGCCACAAATAAATAAACCCTGAATCACCCTCATCTCTCTCCCTCCACAAGGAAAGACAGAAGGTGACAGTTAACGTGACTCCAAGGAGGCCAGAAACACAGCCCTGTGGTCTGCTTTGTGTGGCCTTCAGGTTTCTTTCCGCACAGAACAGATTTAATGAATCAGGAGTGGCCAAGATCCTCCATCCTTCCCACAGTCGAATGATTCATCCTATGTTTCAGTCTCCAGCCCCCTAATCATCCTGGTGCTTCTCTGCACTCTTTCTAGAGTCTCAACATCTTTTTAATAGTATAGATATTCCTCACTTCCTTTGGCTAATGCGCAGTGATATTCGTAGGCTCCAGCTCTGCCTTGAAGGCCCTCCTTCAGAGGGGTTTCCCAGCAAAGGGGACATCCTTGCAGTTCTAAGTAACATACTTGGAGTTATAAGTGCACCTCTGCTTTGCTTTGCTAAAAAGCTGGTATAAATGTCGCAGAAAAAGATACCAGAAAAACCTTCTCTGCAAAGATGCTGCTAAGATCCTTTGCTAAGCAGTTCTAAGGAACATCAACTGCACAGCAACACAATTTGTTATGGAAACAAGTGAGAAACAGAAAGAGAGAAGGACAGTCACTTGAAGGAATATTTAAAAGAGAAACCACACTGTACAAAAAAGCATTGTGCAAAACAGAGCATTTCAATATAGCCTCATCTTCTCCAACATCAATGAATCAGATCTTGTTCTTTGAGACAAAGATATTAACGTCAATTTCTTCCTCTTCAGAATGATGGCTGATCTGCATTTCCCCCCCTCCAAACCCAACTGCCCAAAGTCAGTGGCAGGGTTTCTCTCCTGAAAATGCGAACTACTCAGGAAGGTGACGTGGGGAACTGACCAAAGGTTAGCCTATAATTGGCTTTTTCTGAAGTTTTTCTTTTCAAAAAAGAGGAACAGCCTCAACTTCCTCTCTTCAAAGCCAGGGGAAAAAAGATAAGGATCCTGGTTTTTTTTTACTTTCCTGTGGCCCAGCTCCACCCATTGTGTTGCATTATTCCCCCCCTCCAAGATTACAAAGGCCCCCAGGGAGGTGTCCACCTTTGCTTTGACCAGCATTTCTTGTCCTATTTGCATCAGACTTTCGATCAGAAGATTCAGTTGTCACCTCAGAAGTCAAATTATCACAACATCCAGAATCTCTTTCTCCCCCTAAAAGAAGGCAGAATACCATAAGTAGGACAATAAGGATATGGTCTAGTTTTGCTATTCAGAAGACATTGCCCACAATACTCAACCAGGGCTCCAACTTTCCCAGTCTAAGCAATTTAAAGAAATATTTTAAGTAGCTGAAATTCACAAA